TACTGAAATTTGCATTGCAATGCTGTATACCCAGCCCCTCTCCACTTTTCGTTGCTGTAAGATCAAAAACAGGCAAATTCCAATAACTCAGATAGTGTGGGTTATTTAGCCACCTATACATGTACATCCTTCTTTTTAAATCCTAGTTACCGGCCTGAGGCCAAAATAAAATTATAGTTTGTTTGGAATTGCCTCCCGCCTCATTGAAATGCCCCCTCCTGAAACAAAAATTTATTGACCAAAAGTAGGAAGATGTAAAATTAGGATTTTTTGTTGATGGTAGATACTTTTGTAAAAGTCAGAAAATGTATTTACTGTTTACTGAGATTTTTATCAAAAATTTAAAATTTTTCTTCAATTAAAAAAAATATATGAATTTTTTCCTCCCTCCCTCCTGTGTCGGAAACCCTTCAGGCGGCAATTCCAAACAAACAATATTTTAATGATGGCCTGGATAGAATATCCCGTATCATCAGGTATTTTGCACAAATGAGTGCATGGTATAATACCATATTGAAGCAAAACATCAAACACAAGTTCTTGAATAAAATAATTATTGGCTGCAGGAGCGGTCGATACGTTACAATGTGTGTGGGGGTAAATGTAGCCACGTAGTATCATTTTTAAAAGGGGGAGGTAGCCTTTCAATGAACAATTCCAATAGTAAAAGTAATGTTGGGAAAAAGGGGGGCAGCCCTCCCCCTCCCCCGTTTCTACGTGCCTGAAATGAGATATTATTCATTAATTAGTTTGATAAATAATTTGTCAATGATGAAATTGATAAAATCACGATTAAGTGTAAGAGAATCGAATTAATGGTTTTATAAATCATTTAAAAGTGAAAAAAAAATCATTGTGTCAATTGCAGCTATATACCATGCTGGAAACAATTTTATCGTAGCTTTACCAAAATTTTCAATATTTATTCATCATATTTGCCACTGTCATTATTTTCCGAGTAAGATCATAGTTTGCTTTCATCTTTCCCACGTTGCCGAGTTGTTCATCATCGCGCCATGAAGCATCCGTAGTCTGCAGAAATCATCGGCATCGTCGAGTGACAAAGACCCCAAATGGTTCATCTGGTGATCTGAATTTCATTTTGATGTTAATAATAGGGGATGGGATGTAAAGTTAGAAGACATTCTGGAATATTTACCAGTTTACATTTGCAAATACAATGGATGGCACTATAGCTCTCCGGTCTGTCAATTTTTTTTTTTTCGGAGAGCTACAGTTCGGCAGCTAAGATGAACCTATAATAATCTATTGAAGAGAAAATATGTTCTGAGAATGTTATTTGGGGGTCATAGCGCGACCGAATCACAGAGCGATGGGATATTTTGTCTACATATTTCTGTCACGGTGCAACTTGTTTTGGAATATTTCTTAAGTTAATAACGATAAAAGAGATAAAATGATACTTTTTTTCTCAAAATCATAATACTAGTACTTATGTACTTTTGTTTACTTTTCTAAAATTTCTTTAAACATAGACCTAAAGCACTGTATGAACAATAAAACTAAAACGTATCTTGAAGGGGGAAGGGGTGCCTACATGTATTAATTTCATCAATCTGATTAAAATCAGGTCTTTCTTACACTTCGCAATTCTAGTGGTCGTTTTTGTATGAACAGCGACCATCATAATATCGGAGCGTACATATTTAAGACCTGAATTTAATCAGGTTGGACCAAACCCCAGGGGGTCATAATTTGAACAAACTTATGTGATGAAACTTTCAAATAAAATTTCATGTTTTGGACATGTGGTTCTTAAATAGACGATTTTTAAAAGATGCCACCAAAAGTTCACATATTCCTACCCCCCCCCCCTTGAAAGAGGGTGTGGCACTTCCTGTGAATAAACGTACATCCTCTTTACCCAATGATAAAAAAAACTACACTGTATGTACAGAAAAGAGGCCCATGGGCCTTATAAGTCACCTGAGCATCATGCAACAACTTTCCAGTGCTGTATACAAAATTTTTGAAATTGGTTAAGTGTTTTCAGAGAAGAAGCTGAAAATGTTCAAATGACTGCTTGGTGTTCAGGAGTAAAGAAGAAGAGTTTTAAAGATTGCACTAATTTTAATGATTTTGGCCCCATCCCCCAAGCCCCAGGGGGGGGGAGGGGGGGCAGGGACCATGAAATTCAAAATTGTTGTTTCCCTTCACCCATAGATGCTGTATACCAAATTTGGTTGAAATTGGTTCAGTGGTTTCAGAGAAGAAGCTGAAAATGCACGACGACGGAATAAATGACTCAGGTGATCTAAAAATAAAGGTATAGAGATCTTTTCATAGGGTACCAGTACCTACTTTCGCCAATAAAATTCTTTTAATTCAAAATTCCAAATTTGTTCCATCGTTCCCGGTTCCATACCTTTTTTTTTAACTCCTCAATTTTTTTCTAAGCAATCTAAAGGCCTGTGGTTTACATGTGATTCTACCACGATTATTGTAAAGATCAAAGGAAACCGGCGGACATTATTCTCCAATAAATCACGAACGTCATCAAAAAATTATCAGATTAGAAACACGTATTAAATCTGAACAATTCAAATGCATGTTTGCCTGTAGAATGAAATGACTGCCGTCACGAGAAAAAGGCCCTTAAATTCAAATTTTCAGAAATTGACTTTTTGGTAAATTCTGATAGCCGGTCTCTTTCTGAATGCAAATATGCATAAATTTTGAAAATATCTCACTTTTTCGGTATTTTATGAGTATTTTAGTGAGGTGCTCCAAAAATAACTTTGATGTTATGCTGTAAAAACGTAATGACGTCGCCTGCGTCTAATTCAATTTTCAAAAAATCTATAAAAAAAAAATTACATGTTATTAAATAACCTCAATCGTTTTGAGAATTAAAAACCTGAGAAACTATTTAATTTTTTTTCTTCCGAGTGACTAGTATGTAACTATTCCCAGGGGATTTCGTATGTTATTATATTTTCATGCCAATTTTAGAGCAGATCTAGGAATTTCGTACAAAACGGGTGGGGGTGGGGGGGGGGGGGGGGGTTTATATCCATACAGAATCTAGGAACGATTTATAAAACAACATTTCGAGAATGTTGTTTGAAATATAAAAGCCTCGGCTTTTATCTTTCAAACAACATTTCGAGACCGAGGAGGTTATTCTGCAACATTCACAAAATGTTAAAATGTGAAAATGTTAAATGACCAGGGGCTCAAGCTAATTTCGAGTAAAAAAAGTAGGTCATTTTTAAAATTGATTTCAGAATATCTCGAGAAGTTTATGAAATTTTGGAATGAGCTTTGGTAGAAATGAAGATTGTTTATCTATGAATATTTAAATAGACAGTAACATTTTAAAGCATTTGATTAAAACATATTTTATAAGCAAAATTGGGTATCCAGTGTAAGAGTTTCGTGCCTTGATCTTTTTTTACACAAACATTTTTTTAAGCGATCCAAAGGCCTGTGGACAGGACGGAAGATGGACATGACAAACACTATATGCCCTGGCCATATTCATGATGGGGCATAAAAATGTTGCCACTGAGTAAATGGAAAATACTGAAATGCAACTGAAGGGTACTGAATAGAATTTGTAAAGTCACCACAGGTGATTGATAAAAGAAAACTCCTTGAAAGTTATTTTGAATGTTATAAAACATAAATGGTCACAGAAATATAGCTGAAATGGGTCTGACCATCAGAATATTCAATTTGTGTAATTTTAGGTAAAATATAATGCTTCTTAATATTGGCTTTACATCTTCCCGAATAAGTGAAAGAAGAACATCATAATAAATAAATAAATAAATTATAAAATACATAAATAAAATACAAATAAGATAAAGAATTTATTATTGCTCATACTTCATTTATTCTTTCAAAAAGTTCAAATTCAAGAAAATTTGCTAAATACAGAATTATTAACCATGAAAATAGATGTACATGTTCTGTCTTTTTAACTGTGTTTTCTTTATCATTTAAATGATATGAATTTATTAATATGAATAAAGCAAATTTTTTTTTAAAATTAATAGTACAGTAATTATAATTTATATTAAACTCGCTTAAATAATGCAGGTTCTAAAACTATAAATAACAAACACACAGAAAACTTTTACACATGGGAAAGAGGATAAATGTTGTGTGAAAAAGTATATTCTTCTACAACAGTCATTCAAAAATTATTTGCTATACTGGGAAAAAAGTGCATGTATCATGAAGTTCTATACATATACATGTATATACATGTACGGTAAAAATCCTTGCCATATTGAAAATGTAATGACCAAATTATACAGGCAAGGGAATGACATATCTTACAAGTGAACTTCATCCTGTTGTTCAAAGAATTACATGAACTTTGTACAAATTCAACATTGTAGCTAGATGATAATGAGCTAACAATTTATTACACTGATATGTATGCTGAATATAAATTTATGTACAGTAATATATCACATTCTGTAAAATCATTTTAATTTGAGGTCAATGTTCGTGAACTAAAATTTTCATAGCTCATCAGTAATTGCTTTTTTTTTTATGGGTAACTTGTATATTATGCATAAATATTCAATAAATTGATATTTTGACAGAGTTGGTATGGATATAAAGGCCGTCTCAAGAGAAAAAAACGAACATTGGTCCCTCACAAAAATGATAATTCCAGATTATACACTTTAATATCACTGACAAGGCATGGCACTACTTTCAGGTGAGAGTGTGTTTTCAATAACAAGAAATCTCCAAAGTGTCAATGAATAATTTGGTCCTAGTAAAAAAAAAATGTCCCCTTAATGTAAGCTATAATGGCCGTTTTTAAAAAAAAAACGAGGAAGTACAATTAACGACAATGAATTTCTATTCAAAATGCCTGCATAATAATAGAACATCCGCAGGCAATATTTCATGTCTTTCCCACCCTTAACCTCAGTAAAACTTTTGACTAGCTTCTTAAACTTTAACAAAGAAAAAAAAATAGCATCAAATATAAATCTGAGAAAAAAACAAGTGGAGAGTTTTGCAATTTTATTTTTAGCACTTACATGCTTGATTATTTAAAACTTGAATTCAAAGCATTTCAACTGTTCAAGTTCTTCAAAAATCTCATTTCTAGACTAGTATATCTTATGATACAAGATTCTCTTAAAGCAGTAAGTTGTAAATGATAAAAGCAGAAATCTACACAACCTTTATCACATACATGTACTTAAAAAAAAAAATTATTTCAACTCATTACCTGCATGTTACTACATTGTTTTTACCTCTTTATTTCAGAATATACATACAGGAGAAAAAATACCTTCCAAAAACAAATTTCTATTCAAGAAAAACATTTCATATTTTTTCTTCCCAGAATTAGGTACAATGCATGCATTTATTTCACAGAAAATCAATATTACTAGCTTAATTTAAGAGATTCTGACCCTACTATTTGCTTCTGGTGCTTTGCAATCAAAAAATAATATGCATAATTCAAAGCAAAATCTTCATTTTTTACAATTTATAACTAGTTTCTAAATACACATATTTTATGCTAGATTTTTGTACATTTCATCAATTTGTGGCTTAAACATAACTTTCAGTTCATGTCTTTTTGCCTTAAATGTTGGTGTCAGAAGTCCATTTTCCACAGAAAACAATTCTGGATAGAGGAAGATATCCTTAACCTGAAAATATAAAATTTAATGCTTTAAGCTGATGATATGCTGTTGAAATACTACATACTTTGAATCATAAAAAAGTAAATGAATAAAATTATTGCTTGCAAATTATTAAAGTATATGTATGAAAAGGATGTGTTGGGGTAAAATCTGGAAAAATCTCAGTCTAGAATATGACAAAATGAAGGATATTGAAGAGAAATGATGTCATTCTTCAGTTCAGTACAAGTGTAGATCAGCCATATTTGTTAATTTTTCTCTGCTACAGTAAATGACTTAAAAGAAGCATTCACTTTTCTTAAGTTATGCTTAAGATCAATTACTATATAACTGTTTCGACCATGCAGCTAATTGTTTAAGCTTGATAAACTCACTTGTTCAAATGAATGGAGTCCTCCTGCTTTTCCATATTTGGTCATGTCGGCCAAAATCTCTTTCTTCACATCCTATAAAGATGGAAAATATATACATTCAGAAATTTTAAAGGGAAATTATACAGTATGTTGGTCTTTTTACACTTTGATTGGTTTCATAGAACTCTATAAAACTGAAAGTAATTATGTCACTTCTTTCTTAAGATTTTACTCACAGCATTAGAACATAACTCCTCCATGGACTGAGTCAGATTTAGTTTGGTTTTGGCCCAGTTTGGTAACACGTCTGGATCTGGTACAACTACACCAACTAAACTCGACTAAAAGCAGAACAAGCTGAGAGTGAAGAATCTGATAATCAATTTTCTTTTTCATTTTTTATTTATTATTATTATTTTTTTTGTTAACAAAAATCTTATCTATGTCTGAACAAGAAATATAATACTGAAAAGAACAAACTTAAATTTATTTTATTTTGAACAAAAAATGTATCACTATAGAGAAGAAACTTAATCAGTATTTTATTTATGTCTGTTCAAGAAAGATATCAATAAATAGGTCAAATCTTACCTTTAAACTCTCTCCGTGAACAAAGACTTGTGCCACCAGCTGGCTTCTTACATAGACATTTTCTATCTTTTCTGGGGCAATGTATTCACCCTAAAAAATTCAACAACAAAAAATTGTTATACTAGAAGTATTAACTATGTATACTAAGTGACACAAATTAATAATTGAATTTAAACACCAAAGAACAAGGCGTTGAGAAAATAGATATAACTATTCAGTGTCTATTTGTTAAAAAAACCAATTTTGTATTTTGTTCTCCAATATATACCTGTGCTAATTTGAAAATATTCTTCTTTCTATCAATAATTTTCAAGGTACCATTCTGAAAAAGAAAACAAAAGACATGAGATCAACTGTTCGAGACTCGGATCAAGTTACATGTAATGTTTAATTTCTTTGTAATATATTTTAAGGATCATTTTTTTAATCTACTCAGAAGGGCCTTACTTCTAGCCACTGTCCAATATCCCCTGTGTGAAGCCAGCCATCTTTATCTAGAGCCTCGTCAGTTTTGGCTTGGTCCCTGTAGTAACCAAGGAACACATTGGGTCCTTTTATGCAGACCTATAGGACAGAGATATGAAATGAATGTTATGTCAATACCACACAACTTTTTCTATAACATGTATCTAATATTGCTTAAAATCACCTGAGTTTAATAATTAAAGGTGATCCTGTTAGCTTATGAATTTTATTTAATTTGAATAAAATTGTGAGATAAAATATCTCTAACCATGAATTTCAGATGACATCGATTCTTGGACTTACCTCCCCTTTGTCATCTTTTGCATAATAATTCATTTCCTCTACATCAGCCAGTTTGATCTGACAGCAAGGAAGTGGAGGACCTACGTTTCCTGCAGACAAAAAAAAGAAAAAGGAAATAAATAATGCCAATGATTGCTACCATTTTGTTATACTAAATATTCTGTACTGTTAAACTGTAATGCACACTTCATGTTGTTTGTTCACTTTTCATTTTTACTAAAATTTGATTAATATACAGCAATTTTTTTTGTAATTTGTTTTGAAAGTAATGGCATTCAAGAACTTTTGTGATTTACACAATACATTGTATATTCTAAGCTAAGATTTAACTTCATCTTCATATCTAAAGTGCTTTCAGTCATACAAGTTATTTCCCTTTTCTTTACATTTTCTAAACATTCACCAAGTCAACTTTGAGATAAAATATGAGCAAAATGATAAATTCTTTTTACAACAATGAAGATACTTACATTGAAAGTTTAAATACAGTCATCTTAAGGACATGAAGCTTCAAACTTATTTTTGAAAACCCTTCAAGATGTTAAAAACTAATTTTTTGCTAAATGTATAAAACGAAGGTATAAAAGCCATCTTCATATATCTAAACACTGTACTCTGTCCAGACCTGCCTTAGGAGCTACATACAGAAACCTTGTGTTTCCATCAGGCTTCTGGGAAAGTCCCCAGACCAAGGGTAGAGAGTACCTAGAGGTGACCTCTTGTATTCTGAACCAACGTCCCTCAAATAGCTGTGATGCCTGTTGGTGGAGCTGGGACTGTTACAGAACTTAGTCATAGTATAGTCATGCAGGTACTGCAATCTGCAGCAACAGAATGGGGCTTATTCTGTCAGAGTACTTCTTTTGTCACATAAAAAAATAATCTGTCATATTTTTTTCTACACGTCATCCTAGAGTCACGCAGATGCATGAACGGGGCTTATTCTGTCATTTTTGTCACATAAAATTCTGACCATTATTCTCTTTTTCTTCCTATCTGTGTTGTCATTTGACTATACCTGTGTCGGGATCTCCAACCAGTGTTACTGAACAGATAGCATGGGATTCTGTCTGGCCATATCCCTCCACAACCTGTCAAAAAAAGCAACATCACTAAATCTTCATAGGGGTCCAATATCTATCATTTTCATGGTATGAAGAGAACCCATGAATCCATGTCCACCACAATATGTTAAAATTTCAACATAAAGCAACTCTATAGATCGTCAACCACAAAATCAAATCCCCACAAACCAATATTTTTTCCCTCATCCATTACATGAAAATTAGGCCTCGTAAAAATGGGTGATTTTATAGTAACAAGTGCTTTCAAATCTAATGATGAAAATGATTCTATATATTCTTTTTCTTATGATAAAAACATTATCAATAGTATTTGAAAAATATGAATATGCCACACTTCACATGAAGGTGTATATGTTTACAAGCCATTGATTTACTTGGTTTACTTACAGGACATCCCACGACACATCTCAAGAAGTGAAGGACTTTGGGGGACAGGGGGGCAGATCCTGTTGTTATCAGCTTAACCTTTCCTCCCAAACCTGCCTGAATCTTCTTAAATACCACTTTGTCCCATAAACTATCATTCCTAATTATACTCCTGTGGATAAATGTTAAATAACATGTAAAAAATGCTTCAAACAATCTGCCATGGACAGGTGATTTTGCTTCGCTCTAAGCCCATCCGTCTAGTCAACTATATATAATAAAGTCAAGGGGAATGAAAATCACTAAGTATTAAATGTCAATTCATTAGAAGCATGTTTTCTATAACCATGTTTTACTGTAAAATGTGTATCAAATCAATTTTTTTTATATATATACCGGTATATACTTGTTTTGAAAGTTATTGACAATGTATATGCAAGATTACATGCTAGTCAAACAATAGCAACTGGTTAAATTCCTTTGAATGAAATACCACTGAAATAACCATTTTACAATTAATGCTACTTGACTTCAATGTGGAGTATTCATAAATTACAGGACAATGACAGCTGAACGATTTCGTTTCAAATTCAACAAATTTATTCTTACTTTTTGAGTTCATTTTCCTTGCTGGCAATGGCCATGTTAAACAACTTTCTTTTTATAGACGAGCCCTCATTTAACTGGGTCATGACCTACAAAAAATGAAAAATTGAAATAAATGTCAACAATACACTCCTAATTGTATGTCCTCATTGTTAAAAACAATAGCTCATTTCCTTTTACATAACATTTTCAGAAATAAATCAACTGATTTAAATGTTAAAAAAAATCATCAGAATATACAGTCAAACCTCATTACATTGTACTTGAACACAATGGGACAAAATCACTTTGTCATATCTAAGTTAATTAAATCATAGGTGTTCAAGATACTGAAATTCAACTGTATATCCATGTATCATATTGAAAACATGTGTACAACATCCATTTGGGTGTGCTAACGGCCTTACTTTGTCATAGACTCTATTGAGTAGCCTTGGTACAGATGGGAATAGTGTGGGCTGTAGCTCTTTAATGTCATCCATCAATAGCTTGACATCACCTTGGAAGAACCCTATCCTGGCTCCACTTAATACACAATAACACTAAAAGAGGGGAAAATAACAATAATTTATTTCAAAACACAAAGAAAGAAAAAATACTTGTATGTCTGATGTCAAAACACTTCCATTCAATTAATATTTGTGTATGAAGTAATTAATTTTCTGTAACTTTGTATGCATATAAATAATTTTCAATAATTATTTACATTAAGTATTTTAAGAAACTATACGTATGTATCCATACCTCTAATAACCTTTCATATGAATGAGCTAAGGGGAGATAAGAGATGAGAGTATCTTCAGGAGAAATGTCTATTCCACCAGGTTTCTGCAAAAAATTAAAGGGTACAATCATGGATTTATAAATTAACTTTACAAGCACTGAATACTTACCTCATATTTAATATACCTTTTCAATCGTGAAGAAATGCAGAACTCATCTCAGAAGAGAATGAATTTAAAATTATGAAAAAACGGAAGATCTAAAAATATGATGAAAGGTGGATCTGAAGTTCCACAAGCACAAATGACAAAACTAACCAATATTGCTGCTGCAGCCACAACTGTTGCCATAGTTCCCCTGTGTGTAAGCATGGCACCTTTAGGTAAACCTACATATATAATTTGTTTAAAATCATTATAAGAGTTATAACATTAGTTTTATTTTTACTGATCAGATATTTTTATATTTGTTCATGATATATAGAAATGCTTGTCTGTGAAGCAAATTGAGATTTATATCAATGATTAAACTAATAATAATTCACTCAACAGACTTAGGCAAAACAGCCCCATATGCATATAACAGTAATATTATCATGGCATAAACTATCCAAATCAAGAATTTAAAATTAGAATACACAAATTTATTTTAATGTCCAAATTGAACGATTTAATGGTTAATTACAAAGAAAATAAATGCCAATTTTAAACAGATAAAAACTATAACTAAGTGGAGGGGGGACCTCTAATTAAGTGTATCTGTTTAAACTAATGTACAAAATAAACATACATTAAGTGAAAAAATTCCCCTCCCCCCTTTTCCCAAAATATACCATGTTACTGTATGTGTACTTAAAAGCAGGCTTCATATTTTAGCGGCTTTGGCATGGACAACAATGCGCTAATTCATGAATACCATTAAAAAATCATTTATACATATAATATAAAGCGCAGACAGTGTAGTGCTAATTCATGATTGCACTAACCACTCACTGATTGCGCTAAATTTTGAATACACCAATATATGTACATGTACAGTATTTGTTACATCATTATGTTATTTGAAGATTGGCTATTTTATATTTACTATCACATTATGTCATTCAAGGAAGCAAGGGGCTAAAAATCATTAAATTTGAAATACTTATATAAGTTATGTATTAATGTTTACTAGGATAATTTAATTCCAGTAAATCAATCCTATAATTTTTAATTTCACTTTTCAGGAATTAAATCCTTCACCTACAATATCACTTACTGTCACATAAGGGACAGGGTATGACATAATAAAATGTCAAAAATAGGGAAAACACTTTACCAAATATATAACCATATGCCAGCGATTAAAATATATTATGTACTTCTATAATCCTTCATTCCAAGTTTATTTACAATTCACTATTCAACAACTATATAAAGAACAACACTGAACAAATATTTACTGCAATAAAATGAGTAAAATGGGTTCTGTCATGTGTCCCCATGCAGATTTATTTCCTGCTTACTGTAGCATATAATAAAAAGAGGATTACCTGTTGTACCACTGGTGTAGCATAAAACACACAAATCGTCAGGCTTACATGGCTGAAAAATAAATCAAAAATTCATTTTTACCACATACAATACACAGTCATGTATCAAACAACAGGAAAATTTTTTCTTCTTTCCTTTAAGAATTCACAAAATAACTCTACATTTACGTAAACCAGTTATGGCTGAAAATATATGACAATCAAGGTACACATTCTTTTTTACACTTTCACAGAAATCAGTTTTTGTTTGGATTTACTGGTACTATAAATCATGATTGCAAACATCTGACTTTCAAATAATTACAGTCTACTAGATCTAAATATTGCTGACTTTTTCTTTAAATTAAACTTACCTTTGGCTCCTGGGGTTTCTGTTCACCTAGAGCCTGAAAATTACATAATCATATAAGAATTTTAAATAACCAAATAATAAGTTTACGCTCAATTATTAACCACTTCAATTCAATAACTATGAAATAATTCTCCTTTCAAAATATCATAAAACCATCTTTTTTTGTATCACTTTTTATTAATAGCTGCAACTTTGACTTTGCCAATAAAAAATTTACAAGGATTTAAAAACTTATGCCTCATCAATTCAAAGATAATAAGTTAAAAAATCTCAAAAAGAAAAAAAAAAAGAAAATTAAAGAGAGGAAAAAAATTGTGACACATGAAAAATTAACTCAGGTAAGTAAGCCCTAATATAGAAGACTCAGATTTACACTGTAAACCAACTTTTATTCGCGTGCGAGAAATACATGTATCAGTAAGTTCCTCGATTTACTATAACTCGAGAATATCAATCGCCGTGAACCACTGATTTTGCTATAAAGCATTTGTAGAGAATATTTCCTCAGTTGTGAAAATTAATCATTGCGGATTGATTTTGCACTAACAAATCGCGAATAAAAGATGACGCAAATAATAGTTGGTTTACAGTATACTGGGTAACGGTACAAGTGCCCACCTCCAGCTCGGAGAAGGAGATGAGGTCTATCTTGTGACTGGCGGCGCTCTCTCTGATTTCCGCAGACGGTTCCTCCACCAGCACCACCTTCCTCAGATTGGGTGTCTCCTTGATCCTGTCCAGCAAGGCCTTCACCTTCACGATCTTATCACAGATCACCAAACTTATCTCAGCTGGGAAAACAACAGTTTTATACATGTAATAAATATTTTCGAAAGAATTCGAGACTTAGATAAAGATACTTAATAACAAGACTTAATGCTTTGTCTACGATTTAATTATGATGGGGATGTGGCTTAGCTATATCCTTCACTGTGCCAATGAGTTCCCTCTAACTTATTTATAACAAAATTGATTTTTTTTGTTCTAAAATATTCTAACAAGCATCAAATTATTATACAGCACATCATCTATAAGCAAACAATTTTAATCCCATTAAATTTACATAATTATTTTTTCAGCTGCGACAAATGCAATCATGAGGGTAATATTTGTTTTCCTCAGCTTCATCTCTATTTTTCTCTCAATTATCAATGGACTCAGATAACCTTCATCTACATTCATAATGCCTTTTACCTTGGTTGATAATGTGTGTACAAGCTTCAGCGCCCAAGGTGTCATACAAAGGTACAAGGACCATGGAGTACATATAGCATCCTTGCTCTGTGATCCCATACTGAAATAAAAGTTCAGTTTGCATTAAACTAGAATGCCACTGCATATAGAACAAGTTTTTGTATCTTGATTGGGTACATGATTGCCCCATTTATATATTTTCTGAATTCAAAGACTTCATAAGGTTAGACAATATTCAGTGCTTAACATTTTCAGAAATTTGTTATATTTGAATATAGTTTATGGGATACAATAGATATATCTGATACTAGTAGCAATGAGAAAAATGAATTTTAGAGAGATCTTCAAAATAGATACCTCAACTCTGTTTTGGGAATAAATGCCAATATTCGTTGTGTTTTCTGGTTTTAGTCCTTGTGCTATAAAGCCTGCACCAACATTGGCTGCTCGAACAAGGACCTATGGGGAAAAAAATATGCCATATTAAATTATATATAATTCAATTACATTTTTCGCCTACTTTGGTGGACCTCTTTACCATACTTAAATCATAACACTTATCAAGCATGTGTCATTTTCTACTAGACCGCGGATTTTACTATCACATCATCTACATTCTAAGAAATACTTCTAAACATCACTTGAGAAGAAGGAAATTTTTAAATTATGGCATCATCTAGAAAGCAATCTTTCCTGAAGGAAGTAAAATCAAATTTAAAGATAAACAAATCATCTACTGTACTAATTTGAGAGCTAGCACACTGCAACAAAATTGAGTGCAATTCTGAAAACCCAGGAAATGCTTAAATGCTTCAAAAATATTTGTGAATAGTGAACTACAATATTCAAACTTTGTTTTTATTGCATGAAGTTATAGCAGAGGTAAAAGCAAATTTTAAATACACATATACAGTAATTGCTAAGTGCTCAACTTACATCATTATAGGAGATCCATGTGTAAGGTTCTGTGGGGCTGGGCTTCCACCCATATGCCTTTCCATTATCTACAATGATCAAAATATACTGGGTACATATTATGTACTGGATACAGGGCTATTTGCAACTCATTTTATTTTTGCCATTTCACATTTGCAGGCAATTTTGCCCCAGCTTATACAATTTGCCAAGTCACGGTTCTACGAAATAATACTGTCCTTTGAATTTGACCGATTTTAAATTCACCCACCTGTGAATGGGGCGAAAGAAGAAAAAAAAATTTGAAAAAAATCCTGTCTACAGTATTCAGTCATACTTTCATTTGCAAACTTCCTAAATTCATTTGTAAAACATTTAAGTGTGCCTCCTTTGAAAAAACATAAATTAGAGCAATTTCAATTCGGTAATCAAAACCGAAATCTTTCTCAATTCTCATTTCATACTCCAGTTAAACATGATTAATACCTCTTATGTAAATGTTATCGAATAAACCTATATCATACATTTATAGGTGACTAATAAATTTATATTGCAAGTTTATTGCTCAAGAGAGGAGGCATGATGTGGTGTTGAATATTTTGTAATGCAATGAAAGTTGGGGGGGGGGGGTCATAAAGTTTTTTTTTAAAATGATTTGATGGTGTAGTTAATAAAATTTTGGCAAACAACTTCTGTAAATTTTGTGTACATTTTAAAATTACTGCTTAATCATCCCTTCATCTTCATTCTATACACTGTGTCAAAAAAGAAAAATAGCCCTCAGGACAAAAGACAAACATGTTGTTAATTGAATCATATGTGGACTTTGCACTTTATGAATAAACCCCAAACTTTAAAAGTCAGAAGACTTTGGACCATGACAGAAAAAAAACCCAGATCGCTTGTAATTATTAATTCCTTACAGCTAAGCAAGAATTAAGAAGTATCACTATTAATCAGTCTATTTCATAAATAAATAATATGTGAATGTTTACGCTAACAAGGATGATTCAATCTTTCCCAAGCCTTAAAGCTCCAGGCACTGTTTTTTCTGATTGACAAATAAGTCTCAATTATTTATGGTGCCTCATAATGTATGTAAACATCACTGACGATACATATCTAATAGCTGTGATAAATGGGATGACACTATATTATAAGTAACAATGTGATTATTTTATTTCTTTCACAGATCAATACCAGTTAACGAATTGAAGGAGGGAATGGGGGGGGATTAGAGGGGGTGGGGTTTGACATTTTGCTCATTCAAGAACGACCAAAAATTAAAAACTTCCAGGATCTCAATCATGGTTTGCACCATGATATACTGTATAACAATTTATTTTCTTTTCCTTCTCATATGTCAGTGCAACAGATGTACATGTACTTCTATCTATACACATGAAATAGCATGACAATACAGGAAATCCTCTATGCAGAACTTACTTGATACTCTAGCTCCGCGTTTGAAGGCATCGTGCAAAGTCTGAATTTCTTTATCCTCAAATTCGCAAATGTACCTTCCATTTTTACAGAGCCTTGACATCCGGGATCGTTCATTTTTCTGGAATGCAAATAATAATCTTTGTTATATATATAACAAAATGTAATTATACTTAATATGTCATATTTTGAAAGCCGCATGGATCAGTACCTTGGCACTAAACCATAGTCATTGAATGTGATGTCTTACAGTCTAAAAAACATTCGTCATGGAAAATACACTTCCACTCAACAGAATAAAGTGGTTTTTCACAATGAAAGTTTTTGGGGTTTTTTTAACACATAAGTGGCAACTAATTTTTCTTTCTTTGATTATCAAGCACTTAAAAATAGTATATCATCATAAGTGCATCAGTTGGCAAATCTAACTGTTTAATAATAATGATTTTTTTTTATCATAATTATGATAATATTACACATATATATATATATTATATGCATGACCCCTTTTTTAAAATCTGGCTATGAAAATGTTCATATATGTAAAAAAAAATTTCTGTATCAATAATACTGGCACCCACAAAATACACATCCTCCCAACATTTAAGTAGATATCGATATTACGCATTTGTTAAATTTATGATGCACGTTTGTATAAACTCTTGATTGTTATTATCTATCATAAATATTTGGCTTTGGCATATGCTACATGAAAACCCAGAATAGAAACATCTCTGGTAGTATTACCCCTGGTGTGAAGAAATGTATAAAAAATATGTTCAGAAATGCCAATTCTTTTGGGGGGGTAATTTTTAGTGGGATAAATCTACAAGAGTATTGAGTTATAGGGAAAGAATGCCCCCTTTTCTGCCCCCAAACAAGTACTATAATACCCTTTAATGTATCAAAAAATTTACTTATAACGTTCAAGGAATTCCCATCTTTTTTTTTATGAATTAGTTATCATGTGAAATATATCATGAACCAAATTCATTTTTAATACTTAATTTATATGCATGGATTCAATGTGGAATAATGTGTCTGTGCATTAAAGTTCAACTTATAGGAATAATTACTGATATATCCTACATGTAAATAAAGCTCTACATTTAGGAAACAGAGAATATGTAATGCACAGTTGAATTTTATCACATACTATAATACGAATAACTTGCAAGGGTTAGAAGGCTCTTCATTAGCCTTTAAAAAAAAGCGTTTCTTTTTTAAAATATGAACAACAGACTTAAATTTAAAATGCCGGGAATAGAATATCTAATCCCCCCCGAGAAATTTATAAATCTCTTCCACAAATGGTCACAGAATTCAATTTGACAAAGTTTCAAGGTTGAGTAAATCAAATAACATTTGAATAACACTCCTTTAAATAGAATCAAAAAAAAGAAATGATTGCTAAATTGATCTGGCAATCTAACCTAATTCTATCTTCCAGGATGTATATGACCAAGTATTTAGATAAAAAACAATTACAATACAGTCAGCATACAGCACATGTTTTGAGAGGGTGGCATTTCAAAATAAGACCATTCATGCATTAAAGCAATTTAAGATAAAAAGAAAGAAAAGTAAATAAAAACTCCTAATTAAAATAAAAACATAAAACTTACATCAACAATTTCACTCTGATTGTTTGGGTCCAAAGCAAGACTATAGGACTGACTATTCCCCATGTTTTTCACAAAATGTCCCAATCAATGAAAAGATAAACACAACACTCCACGTGGGGATTTCAAATTTTCTGAATTCACTTCACTATTCACTACACTGGACTTTGCTTGATAAGGGGTTATTTTAAACAACTTTGTGTTTTTCGATCACAGCTCAGCACATGTTACCTGTGCTTGGCATGAAACATATACTACCTGTAGTAAAAGAATGTTACGCTTCACTTATCTCCCATGATCTACTTATAAAGCATGAATGACCTAAATCTTGGCCAATGCTTGATGACTTTTCTAAAACGTGTAATCACTCATAATGGATTTACGTGGCTGTCGTAAATTCAGTTTCATTCACATCCTTGAGCAATTTAAATCGCAAGTAAGTGTGAGTTTGAATGTTGGTAAACAAAAGCACACCTACGTCATATTCCATTTCCTTCCATATTGACTGTTACTCAATAACATTATTCAATAAAATCAATTATAAATGAAGATTTCTCTAAGTCAGGAGTCAGCCTCCTTTGCTGAAACATCTCTTCAGTCTATCCAAGCATTTTATCACTTTATTAACACACAATATTGCTACCGTATTGGTAGTTGATCAATGAGAGAGAACAAAATCAATATAAAAACAGATCCAGTTCTGGACCATTTGGCAGGGAGATAAAATTAGGTTTCTGTAATCAAGCCTTGATGTGTGCTCTATATATAAAACTGAATCAATATATAAGTATAGAGAAGGTATACTAATGGTGTGATTCGGGATCAGGCGATATTATCAGGCGCTGTTTACATCATAACTAATTGGAGCAAACACTTCATGAAGACATGCATGCAGCACATAAGTCATTTATGCCCTCCCTCATGAAGCTATATGTATATACAGCCTATCACAAGTATTACTTTTAAATAAGCAGGATTGGCTTCCTATATATATTGTAAAATACAAAAATAGTTCCTGTGTATAATAATTATTAGTGGTGGTAAATTCACTACACTCCCAAAGTTTTTTCTTCCTCTGAAACTAAAAACAACTTAAGAAGTTTCACTTTCCTTTGACTGACATTTCTCTTTCAAGGTAATTATTAGATGTGCAAAATGACATACACATTCTTTCTAGTTGTCAACGTACATGTACAAACTCAATTTCATAAAAGCATCTATAATTAAAATCATACTAATACACAGGATAATAAAACTTCATAAATTAAAGACTGAAGTTCAAAACCAAATTAGGTACTTAAAGACTTATTATTTTTTCCCGTACAGTACTGAGCAGAACTATAATGTACCATATATTGTATTACCTTCCCAGAGAGTAGAGGTTTGGCATAGCAATACAAGGACCCCTTAAGACATAGGGGCTGGGGAATTTCCCCACCTATAATGACATAATCCCCTCCATTTTTCTGGTATCCCCCCTAGGGATGGGTATCACCAAAAATTTCGTATCGCGATTTATCACGATTTTTTCCCACAATATCACGATAATATCATGATATTTTTAAAAGCAGTTTTTACAATGATTTTATATGAAAAGTCATTATTTTTCTAAAAAATATGCTAGAAAAACAAAATTTTACTGTCTTGAAATTTTTATATATATAAAATCAATTATGTTTGGACGGTAAGATGCCGTTCTTTTCACTTTTTACAACATTTTTTATACTTTCTGTAATTGTAATTTGAAAGATTGAACAAATAAATGAATAATTTCTGGACTTTATAATATGTACCTAAAGACCGGTATTTAGGTCTCCGTATCACGATACGTATCGCGCAACAAAAAATTGTGATATACTGGGATACCGATAAAATCGCACATCCCTAATCCCCCCTCAACCCTGTTAGGGGAGGAACCCTTGAAGTCCTTTTATATTTTAAATGCCCCCAGCTATTTGAATTTCTTAGGGACAACCCTGCAATTGCTATCATTGCAATAACACATGTAATAATACCGTAGTATAGGAAATTTGGGGCATTGCAGATAGGGGTGAAATGATACGCCTCCCTCACGGTTCGATACGTATCGTAAAATTTGGTCTCGGTTTGGTTATTTTCAATACTACACATTTTGATAGAAGGAAACAAATTCAAGTGTTGTTTTATGCTTCCTTTACTTAATCTAGTAGTCAAATAATTTTTGTGCAAAATGGATAGAAGAAATCAATTTCATTGATTTGATCATTGATTTGACTATTAAACATTATTTTACAAACTTTAAGTCCACAAAAATTTACGTTTTTGAACTAATTATACGGAGGAACATGTTCATACCTTATGCCAAACCCGACTGAATAATGATCATGACAGAAAAACGAACCGAACCGAAAATAGAGATTTTGTACCCTGTATCGAACCGAGAAAAAATACCGCGGTGAATCGATACCATGGTGAACCGTTTCACTCCTAATTGCAGATGTTTTCAGTCTACGGCTTTAGGACCATGACATGATGATATAGTCAAATTTTTCTCCAAAAAAAGAAGCAACAACAAGCCAAATAAAATTTTTCTTTCACTTCAGAGGAGCAAGTCATTTCCAAACAGAAATATTTCTGACTGTACCCAATCCATAGTTCCATCTGAAATATGCCAAAGAATTTAGCTGGCAGTACTTTTACAGTAAATCCAATAAGTTTTGTACTAATTTTAACAAGTAGTGTATGAGAAAAATACATTCATCATCTGCATTGTTAAGATCATAACACAAATTCTTGTATTTCAAGTTCTAGGATTCTATATGTCAACCCTTATTAAAGCTGCATTATCCCATTTCTTCTCTAAGCAACCCACTCATGTTCAACCATACTATTAAAACTGCAGTAACAAATTATATACTAAAACTTCATTAGTTCAGGTTTCATGAGCCATTACAGTTTTCTCATTATAAATTTGTAAAACGGCTTCTTGTCTGTTGAACTAATTGGGTGAAAACATAAGTCAACAATTTTACAACTTCCTTTCTTCAAAAAGAAGTTTAATTTTAATAACAATTTATTCCTGTCTGCCATAATATATATACTGGTATTGAAATATATACTTACATCTACCTCCTCTGATTGGTCGTTCAGATCAACGGCCAGTTGAATTGGCTGGGGTCGACTGGTCAGATAGTAGAATGTTGTCGTGGTTACTGCGGCCAAGGTCACAGCACCTGCTCCTAGAAACTTCAGATAGTCCATGTTTCCAATCTTCTCTCTGAAACATTTTAATATGAATATTACATTTGTTCTGGTTACGTCAAACAATTATTTGAGATCTTAGAAAAAATTTCACTGCACAGAACATATGATAACATGCCTGAATGCGAGAAAAATTTAAACTTTACAATACTTCATTACTTTAATAGCACTACAGATATCCTAACCCACTGTAACACACATATTTTGGTACATACATATAAGTAAGAAGTAAAAAAAAAATTCACCAACTGAAAACATAAATGCACTTACAAATATCTACAATTACATGTATCATATACCCGTATAAGGAAATACCTAAACTCCCTTTTGTATTTTTTTTTTTTTAACAAAAAAGAACTGAAACCCTAAATATGTTCTTCAACTTGTTATCTAAAAATATTGTGAGCATATTGCATGTTCAAGGGCATCTTCAAAAGCACAACTCTCTCTCTCTCTTTCTGACAGGACTTATCAATGAACTATAAAACAACATCTGCATCATGACTTTTAAGAATTGTTCTTCCTTATATTCTCTTCATTAATATATCATAGAGTGACCGGGTCTCATTTCTCTGATAAAGCTAATAAAGCTTTGAATGGCTAGAACACAAAGCAAAAAGAGATGGAATCTTCCCTTACATAATCAATAACCTGTATGCCATCTGCTTCTTGAGGCTGTGTTATATGGATAATATTTAAAAACAGAGGATTTGAAATTCAGAATCAAGCAAAACTCTGCCCCTTTTACATGCTGCACAAATATATTAAATGAAGCTTATGAAAGATCTACAAACTGAAGATCAAAATAGTTTCACAGCTTATCATACAAGTTGTTGATTGAAACATGGTATTCTATGCAGGTTCACAAAATGAGACCAATCATATATATTCAAGATGGATCTCTAACTGAATTCCATTTCAATTTGAAACAATTGAATTTTTAAATGACAAAGAAATATGGATCAATCTTCCTGAAGAATAGAGCATATAATATAAAATCAAGAATGAATCAACATTTCTCTTGGTTACATTATCATGTTATCAAATTATGTTATTAAAATTCCTCAATCTTTCTGAAAGATAGCTAGTGTATTAAAATCAAAAAAGAAACCTTTATCTTTCTACAATATCATCTAAGTTATCAAAAATCCTCAATCTTTCTTTAATAAGGACAGCTGAAGCACATAAAATTGAGAATGTATCAACCTTTCTCTTTGTCTATCTCTCAATATCATATGTTATCAAAATTCCTCAAATCTAATATACCAGTAAGTAATACATCATCATGCTGACTACACAGAATTGATACATTTTACACAATAAGAAAGAAGAATTAAAAGAATATGTTATCTATGATTTAACAATCATTTAATGATATGAATTTCTATGCAAATTATTGCATAGTGTATTAGAGCTGACATTTTTGACATCACAGCTAGTCTTACATCTCTCGACAAATTCTGACTCATCTGTATTAGACACAACAGCACTTACATCATCATTATTCCAGTCACTGAAACTCTCTGTATTAGCGATTTCTGAGCGTCCGACATTTTTTTCGCTCGAGATCAATTCTAATTTTTTTCTATCCTTAGATAGCTCAAAAAAAAAAAATCTACTTATGGCCACAGACACACAATCCAAATGCAGATGAAGGTTGAACTCTATAATAAATAAAAAATCCAGACAGACATGTACATTGAATCACAGACCACTGACAAGGTTCGATCATATATCTGTCAAGGCCAGGACTCAATGATAAAGGACTGAAAATCTAACCAGCTAAGCCAAACAGTCACATCCACAATGTACAGAAGTTCAAGGTACATTGTACTACGATGCACACCATTGGTAAGTCAAAATTATATCATTTAATAAGTATTTTACTCACCTATAATATTAAGTACTTGACTCACTGATTACTAGCCATTACTAAAAAGTCATTGCTAGACCACATAGACTTTGAACTCTATATAATTTTGCGGTTGTGATGAATTGCCATTACAAGATCTCCAATATTTGGAGAAGTAGACTATCAGGTGGGGGACACTGGTACAAAGTTCACCGGGTGAATAACCACAGAATGGTCCTCCACTCTCAAGGCAGTAAGTATACGGTCGGGGAGAAATGGGGTGATCAATTGCGTAAACATGCATGGCCCATTCAGCTGTACTTTAAACGGAAATCTTGCTGGTTTACAGATTTTGATAAGCTCAAGGTCAGGTACTGGCTGGAAGTCTCAAGGACCAAGGACACAAGTCGTGTACATGCAGACTATCACTCAGCTAACAATACCAATGGGTAGATGCAGTACATAATGATGAAGTACATACTTTCTGTTTTAACTTTTATCATGTAAAGGGAAGAAACTCCTGATTGATATCAGATGATCTTTTCCCATTGAAATTTTATTGGAGAATTTTATTAGTTTTACATTGGTTTCAGTATAACTGAATGTAAAATACAGTACCATTAACGTTTTTTCATGGAAAATTACCAACAGATTCTCCTAAGGAACGTCTTACATACTCATTAACAGATAAGGATAGAATGAATGAACTTTAAGATACCATTCCTACCTCATAGCCTAAGAATAATAAATATGATAAAATTAAATGGAACTAAACCTGACTAATAATAATCAATAAATATTGATTATAGAAAATTTTATAGCTACTAAGTTTAAAATCAACCAATGTCAATTGTCACACATGATACAAAGGGTCTCCATGTCATGAACAGGAATATGATATGTAGCTGTTCTTTTATTTATCTACTGTATAAGTACCCATATGTATGAACAAATTGCAAATATAAAATGTTTAGTAACTGTACATGGACTATGCATATACATATGTTACATGTGCTTAAACATTACAGCAACTGTTTACGTATCTCTACTCTACCTTAGATGACGCACTAGCTCAACCATTATCAAAGATAATGCAATGTATAGGCTTATCTATTATATAACAAACAGTTATAATAATACATTCAGGATATGGCTTTTCTGTTATTTTGAACAGACTCAATGTCCTCAGCTATACATTCATTATTTAACAGATTAGATTTTGTGTACCACATAGATCACCAAATTTATGTGAGACCTTATTTTTGTGAGAAAGCTTTTTAAAGTTTTTTGGTATTGTTTGTAGTGATTAGTGATTTTTTTTTCATTTTTACCCCTATTTATGCAATGATCATGCCTAGGTACATGTACTAAGTACCAATATATTGATAACAGATAGCTAAGAAGACATATTCTACAGTTTACAGATTACAGCCCCCACTGATCTTTTAGGAATTACATTCAATATGTAGCGATGGGGACAATCATATCATACATGTTAACCTACTGTGATGAAAAATAGGGAGATTCAGACCTCAAAAGCGGTAGCATTGCGCGCGTGTTGTTTAACGCTTGGATTATCGATATCTTTCATGTAATATACATGTATATTATAAGCCTTAAATGAAATCAGGTACCTACACTAATTAATCTTAAATATCAACAGCAAAGAAGAAGACAGAAACACCTTAAGTTTGACATAAATTGTACAAATTCAAATATTTTTCATGCTCATCATTTTGCTTGGATTGGCTGCTTTACTTAGCCTTTTGAAGAGTGATCTTTGCTGATATAGCCTAGAAGCAATAATTCTGAATGTTCATTCAGTTTTTAAACAAAACAAATGATGACATGGTTTAATCTAGATCTAAAACAAGTTCCTATCTTTCCTTATATAAATCAGATTTCCCGCGATGATCGAAAACGAAAGTAGAGATGTGCCACATGGCTTGGTCAATCGAGTGATTTCTATTGACTTTATTGATAAAGTTGTGAGCTTCTGTGCTTTTAAAGACGATGTCAAATGTTTTCATCTAATTCTTAAAAGCTGTATCTCCTTTTTCATGGCAGGGATGTTGATTAATTCATCGTAACCAATGTAATCACTGGTAGTCTTGTGTTGTTGTCGTTGTCAAATCCGTGCTTGAAATCTATGTACAAAAAAGCGTTTGTATGATTCCGAGTCAAATAACGCGATATCTAGCGAGAATTCATGAGAGTGGCTTCAAAAATGGATACTTAAGCGAACCAAAAATACTTTAGACAAAGCTTTTGTAGAAAAGCGGTAGATTTCTGCATTAAATCGGTACGGGAGAGTCCTAAATCGGGAGAGTTAACATGTATGAATATTAATCTTATTTTTTTTAGTATCATCGTTTTAAACAAATGGATAACATTTATTTTCAATTCAGGAAAAAAATTTGCTATATTTTTTTTCTGTATAGTTTGACCACTTTTGTCATAATGAGCTAACCATGAGATTCACAGTCCTTTTTTTTTAAGCTATTACAAAAAATATTTTAAAGAACAAGGAAATTTTTAGTTCAGAATATAGTGATTTTCTTCCTAGACTTAAAAAAAGCTAAAATTAAAAAAAACGAACAAACAAGGAAATATAATTTCAAAATATATTACACACATGTATACAATCATTAGAGTAGGTCATTATATGAAAATTAGCTCTATTTAGTACACAGCTTTATCATTTTATAATACTGGATACTATAATACCCCAACACCATTTCTGATTATTTACAGGGACTAAGCCTTCATTTATACATGTAATATGTCACTATTAGTACACAATTCAATAACCTGTTTCCTGTTTATTTCAAATATGAAGCAAATGTTACATGTGTAGGTTCCTTCTCAAAGAAAATGTTGTAAACAACAAGAACCAAAATCTGAATTATTTTCCTATTACTTAATATGTATGGGTAAAATAAAAACACCCCAACTTATCAAACCTTTGAGTTTCATGAAACAGACATAAAACCTTGTAAAATATGCAGCTACAAAAATGTAAGATATACAAAAACAAATAAATTGAGACTTTCTTTTTTTCCTATTACACTACCAAATTTGCTTGTATCATAAAACTCATTTAGTATGAACACGGATATTGGGAATTCACGGATATAGCGAAGTTATCTTGGATCCCCAGCTATATAAATTTAAAGAATTACTTATACGGAGATGTAGTTAAGTTATTTCATAGGTCCCAGTGACTTTGTTATAACCAAGTTTTACTGTAGTACCTATGGCATCAGAAAACAAGAATAATTTCAGAAGATCCTAAATGGATAAGATCTTGGGGATGATTTTTTAAATTGTTTCTCATATAAAAATGATCATAACCCCTTTTCACTGTTTTCTGGTAAAGAAAAAATGGTGAAGAAATGTTAAAAAAAAAGAATTGATTATAAGCCAACATCAAATGATACACTGTAAAACTGTGTAATTATCAAATTCATTATTTTTCATGGATTTTGTGGGTCACCCTTTAATCAGCAGAGTTCTTGAAATCTTTCGGTCCTGTTGGCAAGAACAATTAACCAGGACCGATAAATTAATTCGTTTTGTGTCAAGTTAGCCATGAAATTTTGACCAGAAGCAAATTTTTGTTTGAGAGACAAACATTAACCCGAAAATCCGAATTTTTTTCCAGATTTGGGGTGTACGAATTCCCAGTCAAAAAATAATTTCCAACTCATATTTTCATAATTTATTAAAGACGTACAACACACTCTAGATCCGTGCATGCCTTGTTGTTGTATAGATTCTTCATTATCTATTCATACTTTTAAATCAGTTCATAGCAAAACTCTTTTAAAGTTATATAAACCTATCTTAAAAACCATTTCTTATCATTATGAAATTCTTCACTTTCTACCAGTGGCAGATATATTCTCCTCTTTCATTGGCTTGCACATATCACAGTGATATATGGATATGTATATCATTGTGAACCTGTACATTGTTTAAGTTTATCATATTTAAATGCCTGTACTAATGTTTGTCTTCTAATGTAGATATTTACCAGGCAGAACTAGAATTGTAATATTAAGTTTAATATTAATTTTATTTTAAATAAAAAAAATCTTGACAAAGAGTCCACTGCAAATGTGTCAGAGAGGAAAGAATGATACCTCTGCAGGGGACATTGGAAAATATTACTTATCAAAAAGGGAGAGGCTAATTTTGAGCAATTGTTTAGAAATTACAATGCTAGCCAATAGATTAGAAGTTGCTTTCTGGAATTGGCCCCTTCACGGTAACTGCGGTACCGCTCTTCTGCAGGGCAAATTAATAACGTTTGGCGGAGTTACTATTGATAGATAATTAAATGACCTCTTTTTTAAACAATAACTTTTACATCATATATCACCAAAGTAAACCATTTTGCCCTGCAAAAGAGCAATACCACAGTTATCGCGAAAGGGTCTATACATTAAATGCAAATAATGACAAAAAAAAACTAAACTAGACTTTGGGGAATTCCGGGTATGTCAATGGATTACTGAGAGTGACAATGATAATGATGATCTAATTACTTAACTTATCTTTCAAGAAATTCTTTTATAATTTCTATATATGAGTACACTCAGTCTCTGTGGTACTTCTAAACACAGACACGAGGCAGAGATAATTCTAGTTGACTTATGAAGTTATGTATCCTCATTCAAAAGTCAAATTGAACTATATATTAATTCATAATTAACAATGACACGGTTTTTCTATATCTTACCTGCAGCTATTTTATGTTTAGTTAAAAATAATGACTAAAATTCCAAAGAACCTCTAGCATCAATATTCATTCTGCGCAATCATGCTGAATCTGACCTCACAACATCAGCCGATACTTTTGGGGTTGGTCGGGATTAGACAATTTGAACGTTGGTTGTCTCTGCCGACAGAATTTTACCACTATCGCATTTTTTCCTTTGGGATTTTTTTAATCTTGAAATAGATGAAGAGGAAAATTTTGATATTTTGAAGTTAA